AGAGGTATTGCACAGTATCATACGAAATTGAAGGCGCTCCAACATATTAGGAATGGCAGGCATCCTTCAAAAGTACGGAGCTTTCCTCGCAAAATAAATCAAGATACTACGGCCGAAAAATAGAGCGGTAGTCCAAAAACTCACTAAGTCCTAGCATCCGTAATTAGTAACATGTAGCATACCGACAGTGAAACTACCAAACCACGTATCTCGGTTTGCGACGTCGCAGACTTCCTGTCATACTTTATTTTTTAAATGAAAAACTACTTAACATCCAGTCTTGAAAATTTCTGTGATTTTTCTTCTTGGTGCGTGAAATTCCGTACTGATTTGGTCTACTTCAAAAAAATAAAATGTGAGCGTAGATTTTTAAACACCGCAAACGAGATACGTGGTTTGGTAGTTTCACCGTCGATACACTTTATCACCTGGCTGTTGCTCAATCGCCATCGGCTATAAAAGGCTATAAGACATTGTGCAGCCGGATATAGAAGCTATTGAAAACCTTACAGCCGGCTTTAGGTCTATGGTATTTTGGAACACATATTCTACTGCCAATTTTTACCAGGAGTAGCCAGCTGCATGATTAACACTTACAGACATTTTGCATTAGGTATACTGTACTCCCTTAAGGTCATACATTATTAGGAAGCTTGTAACCATCAAAACTCATTTTTATCCGCGTAAGATATAATAAAAGGTACTGGTAAAGGGAAAACTTAATTATACGGTGGGTTATGAAAATCAAGATCTAAATGATAAGGAGAAAAAATAAGAAAATTGATTTTGTAGGAAAAACAATTAACTTTTTATTTTCAAATTATTTTACACATGTATGATACAGCATTATACAAAATATAACAAAATTGAGTAACGTCATTAAAAAAGTAATCAACACAAAAGATTTTTAGTCAGGACAGTCATTTGAATTCTGCAGAACCCAACGTTTGTGACGGCAAACTAGGGACACGGAGTATTTACAAATGAAGATGTATACTTCTTCAAAAGTATCAGGAGATATGTTCTCTCTGGCAATAAGCATGTAAAAGGGGTTGCGCCATTCCGTTTGTTTTTTCATGGGGACTAGAGTGGCCTCAACTATTAATGAGAAAAAAACACTAAGAAGTGACCCGAACTGTATGTAACAAGGTGGAGAAATGGTGCTGGGTTCACACCATTCGCGAGGAAAACAAAGCCAAGAAGTTCCAAAAATGATAATTAGAGTCAAAATAAATTTTTTTACTCTATTGAGCACTAGAACAAAACTGAGGGGGAGAGTGTTCAGCTCAGGGCAGTTGGCATTGGACTATTAAGTTGAGGTCACGCCGATGAGAGATCATACCGGTATAGTGGTCAGTGAACCCAACTTGGTGACGAGTGTGATCTACTAATGCCTAGAGAAAAAAAAGGAGGTGTTTGCATTTCGGGCATCTTGGAATTTTTTGATGACTTGATGACGTAGGTGGGTACAGTGTGAAGGGGACGTCCCTGTACCCGCTGTACCCACCTACGTCATCAAGTCATCAAAATATTCCAAGATGCCCGAAATGCAAACACCTCCTTTTTTTTCTCTATGCTACTAATGAGGTCTAAAAATACCCAAACCGGTATAGATCTCTCGGTGTGACCTCACTTTAATAGTCCAATGCAAACTGCCTCAGCTGAACACTCTCCCTCCTCAGTTTTGTACTGGTGCTCCAGTGGCGTGGCGTGCTTTGCGATACATCGAATGATCTGCCATTTAAACCCATGGAAAAGGATCGATAAATAGGGTGTTCGCAGCGAACACCTTAATAATCGATTCTTTACCATAGGTTTAAATGGCATAACAATCGATATATCGCAATTCACGCCACGCTACTGTGGTGCTCATTAGAGTTAAAAAATTTACTTTTGACTCCAACTATAATTTTTGGAACTTCTTGGCTTTGTTTTCCCCGCAAAATGGTATGGACGCAGCACCATTTCTCCAACTTGTCTCAACTATTATTAAACACCATAATTTCACTCAAAATTCGATTATGATAGTCCTACATTAAAGTGGGATCGAATTACTAAAGAATCTAAGTATGATCTTTACCGCATTATGTACACCTACTTGAGACTTTTTAGTTACTCAGAGAGAGTGATCGTGATCTACTTCGTGAAAAAATCTAATTGAAATTGGCTTCAGGGAATGCTATACATTCTATCAACAATTTGTTGCCATTTGAAATGGCAAAGACGATTATAGCTAATAGACAGTTGTAAAATCAATATATATTTTTGGAAATATACAGCCAACGAAGAGGACAATTTTTGCATATTATTAAAGGGAAAAAAAATAGGAGTAGAGACATGAAAATTTGTTTTTTAAGGGGATTGCATTGTGCGTAAAGGAACCAAGAGCATTCCAATGTTGCTAGGATTGTACAACTTACGTTCTTTGCAATCAAATTACTGAAATCATTCACAAAATTGAATTAAGAAGGTAATTTTTGTCTTGAATTGATAGTTTATTGGGAGTAAAAGTAAAACTTGTTTGCATGATCAGTTTAGATTTGCAAGGTAAAAAAGTTGCACAATCTGAGCGACATTGGAAAGCTCTTGGTTCCTATTTGAAAAATGCAATGCAATTGGTAGTAATATCGAAACATGTCATTTCGTTTATGCTCTCAATTTAATAAAAAAAATAACAACTGAAAAAACTTAAAAAAGTGTGTAACAGTTCAAACAAAATGTAAATAACAAAATTCAATGGAAAAGTTTATCTTTTTTAACAAGAAGCTTTGATCATCAGGGAGAATAAATTTGAATTATTTTCACCGAGGAAAACATTTTAGTCAAAACAAGGAGTACGAGATAATACACGAACCTTTCGGGAGACATGAGGGGCTGTCTATCAACAATGATTACTCATACGGTGATTCATAATTGGAGTACATTTTGCAATTTGGAACTATAAATTCTAACCCGGTTTAAAAACAATGTATGTGCCATTAGTTTCCCTATGCACGTAGGTGTTTTTCCAGAAGAGCCAGAATTCATAGTTCCAAATTGCAAAATGTAGTCCAATTGTAGATGAAGAAGTGAGATTCAGAGGAGCTTTATTGCACTACACTGATACGAAGTCTTACTAGCATTTGACATCTTATAAAACTCAAGAACAGCTTCAAGTTTTCTTTTGGAATTTTTTGTGGTAGTTCATGGTGATTTGAAGAACGTTTCAAAGGACTCTTGATGTAAAAAACGAACCGGTAAAAAATCTGAAAAATTGGAATGATGGAGCGAATTTTTCACAGAATATGCATTAAGAATAGTTTTACTTATACCTCATTTTTTTTTCTCAAAATATGCACTTATGCGCTTTATCCACAAAGCCCCTCAATTTATTTTCACTAAAATTCTTCCTCGGCGATACAGAAGGCACTTAAACCAACTTGGATCACTTGGCTCTTATCTGGACTGCATTTAGCAACGATGAATACCAATTTGGATCGCGTATAGCAAAAAGAAACCAAGCCACATCAGCTGTTATGCTACCTTTAACAGGGCAATTTAATTTTGTATATGAGGACGTTTGTGCGGATTTTTTTTGGAAATTTATAGAAATTTGCTTCGCACTATGCAGGAAACTCACTAAAATTTGCACCAAAATCCGCGAACCGTTTACATGTAAAAAGTTAAAATGCCCGATTCAATCGGGCAATAGCTGATGTGGCTCGATTCCTTTCTGCTTAACGCGGTCCATTTCTGGCTCGTGATAGAAGCTTTTACCCTTCTTGCGGCAACTTATGGTACAACTTATGGTAAAATGAGCCAGAAATAGTTGTTTGTTACTGCAAAATGTAGTCAATTTGCATATCTTGTCGTTTCTCGGACGGAAAAGCGTAAATCCATTCCAAGCAGGTTGCAGAATTGAATACAAAATTACTTTTTTCATGAATATACTTATCCATATTTTGTTAAAAATTGTCCGTGATTTTTGCATGAGATCAGAGGCAAAATTTGTAACATTTTCAGTCAGCGATGCCTAAGATTCTCCGCACTGAAAAAAAAGTATCACAATCCAAACTATACTCCTGACTGATTTTGGCGCCAGATATAAGAGTAGTTGCACTTTCCAGAGGTATGGTTGACCCAACCACATTTTTCGCAGACTCAACCGTACCTCCGACTGGTGCAGTTACTATTATACATCTTGCGCCAAAATCAGCCAGGAATATACTACCTGCTAAGAAAAAACGCTGTATGAACATTCGAGCATTGCCAAATGTCTCCCGATAAAACATGTATTGTTGAGGAAAGTTACGCATATTTTTTCGTGAAATTTTCGAATTTGTTAGATCAAGTTGCGAACAAAATTATCTGGAAAAATTCGACAAAAAATATTCAACATTTTTCCAGTAAATTCTGTTTTTAGTACAGGAAATCTAGCGACGTCTAAAAGCTCATACGGTGCTCCTCCTTAGCACGGCGGTATATTTGAGATTGTGAATCCTCTATTTCCGTGGCGAGTAAAAATGCGATTTGTGCACTGAAAAAAAAGATTGGTAGAATTTACCAATCCTTCAGCCAATCCTACGATGTATTTCATACAGCGTGAATGCAAAATAGATTCTACTAGAAAAATGGTTACCTGTACCAGTATATAGTAACGATTACCTTTCTTCCGGCAGAATTGATTCTGAATTGACACTGTGTGAAATACAGCGTAAAGGAGTGGTAAATTCATAGAGTACATTGAGTCGTAATGTAAGTGGGTGAGCTGGCGCCACTATTAAGCATTTTCCAGGTCCCGAATTCCGAGACTCCTGTGTGACGCCGGGTCACTTTTTCGATACATAATCGATTGTTTGCGATACACGGGTACCCGGCCATCCGATGTAATCAAAGAAGATAGGGATCACCACGTATTCCGCACCGCCATTTTGGATCGAACTTGTATCGAAAAAGTGACCCGAACTCGGCGCACACCGGGCTCGGAACTCGTCGAGCAGAACATGGCGCCAGCTCTCCCATTTACATTACGACTCTATGTACTCTGTGGGTAAATTCTACCAATTTTTTTCAGTGTGAGGGGAAATTTGGCAACATTGAAATGTAATTACATCCTTTCGCAAAGGAAACGACGCTTTGACTGCGCTGCATCGAAGCTGATTGACTCCTCTGATTAGGATTTTGTGCTGTTGAGAGCGGTGAGCTTGGATTTGAGTCGTGGATCCTCGGATGGCGACTTGTTGGTGATCCGGGTGAAGCTGAACTGACTCGAGTATTTGGTAGAGTTGATTTCGTTCTGGTAGACGAGGAAGCCCATCTGAGAATGCGACGCTTCGTTCAAAGCTCGGAGCCGAATGCATCCGCGATACTGGTCCACGGACATGTGTTCCTCCTCCGAGCAAGTCTGCAACAATCCAATGAATGACATCAGAACAAAAATTATTACACTGAAAAAAAATCTCGGTATATTTACTAGGAAAAGGGTGAAATTACCAAGAATTCAGGGTTCTATTTGATCCCAGTTTTTTCTTGGTAAAATTACCATTCATGGAATTGGTAATTTTACCGAGAAATCTTGGTAATATTATTGACTTTCTCGGTAATTTTACTGGACCCCGGTAAAAACGGCAATATTTTTTATCGACGGTGGTAGAATTACCGAGATAAAATGGCAAAGTTACCGGGAATTGATTACCAATAAAAGTGGTATTCTTACCTGAGAAAAACAGTAAAAATACCGGTTTTAAGGTAAGCTTACCAGTCTGTCTTGGTAAAATTACCAATAATTGGTCAAAAAAGTGAGATGGTAAAGGTACCAACGGACCTTGGTAAAAACGCCGAGAATTTTTTTTCAGTGTAGTGCTGTCCTAACGTTTCAATGCCACCTTTATCATACAAAGAAAAATGTTTCTTCTATGAACCATAAGTACGCGGTGTTCTTAGTGGCGGATCCAGCCCCCTCTCCCCCCATCCGAAACCAAAAATTGGTGGAAAAGACCCAAGCAGCATTTTTCTACGGAAAAATCGCGGTTTGTTGCGATTTTGTCGGCGATAAAATCGCTAAGATCACAACATCTGAGCGATTATCCTCGATCTTGTTGCAATAAAATCGTGATTTTATCGCTCGGAAATTTATCGCAGTATTATCGCAACAAAAACCGCGATATATGGCGATTCAGTCTCAATTTTATCGACGAAAATTGATCGCGATTTAATTGAACAAAAAATTGCGATGCATAGCGATTCAATCGCCATAAATCGCAATTTTTTATTTGATGATATTGCGATAAAATGCCACCGATATAATCGCGATAATCAACCGATAAAATCGCTATTTATCGCGATCACTTCTACTTGGGGAAGGGAAAGGGTGGCAAGGGGAGAATAAAGGGAAAGGAGGAATCTTCTCTATTCTAATAAAATCATCTGTAATACGCTTTATGGACGGGGTGGAGGAAGGGGGTAAGACGCCGGTCGATGGGCAGGAGTGAGGAAGAGAGGTTCATAGGCCAGAGTTTTAAGAGAGGGGTCTTCAATTTCAGAGGCGTTTGTTTAGTTTCGGACAGCTATATGTGGCCCTGTCAAGGTCGACTTCCAAAAAAGCAATCAAAATTTAGAGCAAGGAGAAAGTCATTGAAAATATTGTTTAGTGGGAAATTTTTCTTCGAAACATAAGTGTGTTATTCAGTTGAAAATGAATTGCTCATCAACCCCCAACGGGAGTTTTCGACGATTTCGCTGACCGCGCAGCCTCCGGGGGGCCCAGCCGCGTGGCAGCCAGGGGGCAGAGCCCCCTAGTTGCTCCTAAAACTGAGATGGTTTTAAGACAGACCTATATAACCAAAGTTTACCAAACCAAGTGTTATGCAACACTGCAGAGATAAATAGTCCATATACTAAAATGAAATTACTCTGAGAGAGGTATTATTCGTCAATATCGGTTAACGAACCAAGAGTTCAATTTGACAAACCGAATAGTTGGGATGATATGTAACAACGGACGCTCGGTTCATGAGACCGCGAACTTATGTTTCAGAGGCATTATGAGCTGGTTTCACTGTATCCAAAACTTTCAAGAGAAAATATTCATAACCTTCCACAAAAATGAACATTTTACCGGAAAAAAATTTGCCAACTCGTGAATGTATATACGGCGTTTTTTCTTAGTACGGCAGTACCATTCTTTGCGTCATAACAAGAATCCTTACATTTCAGAGCCACCCTAAATAAAAATATTCACGAGGCTGACCGTTCGTCAATCGCGGTTGAAAAACTATTCATGTTTTTTTGACGATGGCCGGAGGCGCAATGAGGTATGCCAGTCACGTGGCGTGCTTTGCAATGTATCGATTGATCTGCCATTTAAACCTATAGAAAAGGATCGATAAACATGGTGCTCACAGCGAACACCTTAATGATCGATTCTTTACCACGGATTCAAATGGGGAAATATCAATAGTTGATCATTCACGCCTCGATTACTGATCAGTGGCGTGGCGTGCTTTGCGATGTATAGATCGATCTGCCATTTAAACCTACAGAAAAGAGTCGATAGACATGGTGTTTGCAACGAACATTTTAAAGATCGATTCTTCACCACAGCAACAAATGGGGACTTATCGATAATCGATCATTAACGCCTCGCCTCTGGGGTATACCTAAACAAAAACAATCACACAAACCACGATTCATTCAAACGATAAACATTCGTCAGCGATGCCACCATGCGTGACCGCTGGCGAATTCACTCACATTCACCGGTTTCATTATTTCACAGCGACACAGTCACCCGCACTCCGATAAAATAAACATCATTGACGTAGTTGCCACTCTCTATTTTCCTTACGCTTATCCTGGGGACTTATGATCCGAGTGAGAGAAGAAGCTATAAAATAAGTTTGAATCTCCGGAAAGAATGAGGTGCGAACTTCATTTTATGAAGATCCGGAAATATATCGACGGTGTAAGTCCGCAATCACATAACTTGTTTGCGGTATCTGAAAATCTCCGCATCTATTTTATTTTTTTAAAGAAGAACAAATTGACATCATGCCTTGAAGTTTATGCAGTACTTTCCTCGCACAAAGAATAAAAATCACGGCAGTTTTGAAGAATTGTCGTCGATTGGTTTTCCGTTTAAAAAATAAAGTATGACAGGAAGTCTGCGACGTCTCAAACCGAGTTATACGATTGCCGACTTACACCGTCGATATGTCGCAGGCAGTTAGTCAAATCAAGTATTTTATCAAAGGCCTAGGCCGGTAGTCAAATGTTGACAGTTTACGGAATTCAGTGAATTTATGGCGAGGAGTTAACGGGTTTTCAATTTTTGGAAAGAAATAACTCTTTAAATCTGCGAACTCTCCTCGTCCCTTCCTTTATCATACCTTTAGTACATTTAAATGTTAAAATTGTAAAAACTCTATGCTTCATGACGTGCTGAACATTTTATGAGAAATGTGCATTCAGGATCTTAAAATCGTTTAAAATGCTATTGTATGCTGCATGTTTTTACAGGTAATTCTTTCATACAGGAGCACCGAATTATTTTGTCTAAAATTAGGGTAAACAGTCAAAATTTCAATCTAAGTAACAATATTTGACTATCATGCCTGTAGGCACTGGATAAAATGCCTGATTGACTATTCACAAATATGCAAGGGAAAGAAAGAAAGAAATAAAACAAGCGAAAAGCTCGCACACCAATTCGGTTTCATCATAAAAAAAAAAAAAAAAAAAAAAAAAAAAAAAAAAAAAAAAGTAAATTACTTTTTTCAGTGAGTTTACTTTTTTTATAAATCACATATTATATCTTACTATTTGCTTAATTTTATCATTTCCCCTAGTTATTGTAAATGTATTATCACCTTCAACTATAGTACTATATTACGTTGGTATTAGAGAAGCGGTCATGCGAGATTTTAAAGTTTCTCAGCATAAATTTACTTTGTTGCTTATTTTAAAATTTGCCGTAATACTGGCCGTTCGTTGCGTTAAGCCATTTAATCGCCGGAACAGTCTACCAATCTAGCTGCAGGATCGAAATCCAGAAGCTCTCCATTTTGGCTGAGCGCTGAAAAGCCTGATTACGAGTATTTCCGTTCTCCATTATACAGATACACAAGCTCGTTTCCTTGATACCACTATTCGAGCTCCTATGTGTTGCGGAGTATCATGTTTATTTGAAGGCGTTTTGAAAAACGGAGGAGAGGAACATTCGAATTACTTTACTCTACGGCGTTCTTTCTTATAACGGTAACGTTACTTTATTGACTCTGAGTTTGTGTTACGGCTCAGATTCGAGTGATAGGGTACTCATGAACAGGATTATTGGGTTGTTCTATTGTTTTATAAATTATTTTTACTAATTCTTATGCTGAGTACTTAATTATTGTGAGTTCCTATTTATTTTTTAAAGGGGAAAATACTCACAGTCACTTCTTGAAAACTTCCCATAATTCGTACAACTTTCTAGTCAAACAACAGCGTTGCATAAAGTTATATCAAATGCCTGCAAAATTTAGGTCACATCTATCTTTTCTTCTTACATCAACTCATTATATTACAACCTTAACATGTCTAACGATACCAGTCCACTTAATGTGGTTAGACCTCTCCTACTCCTACCAACTGTCACCCCAGTTGGCGTCACTGTATAATCCTATGCTGACCAGTGGCGTGGCGTGAACGATCGATTATCGATATTCCCCCATTTGAGACTATGGTAAAGAATCGACTATTTAGGTGTTCGTTTCGAACACCCTGTTTATCGATCCTTTTCCATGTGTTTAAGTGGCAGATCAATCGATACATCGCGAAGCAACGCCACGCCACTACTGGTGATGACCACTGCCCGGAAACTAAAGAGCCTGCTGGCGATAATTATAGAAATGCGGGTTTCCTGAACAATGAGACATTCATTTAGTTTACTCAGGGTCACAGCGAGAAACAAAAGGCTGAATCAATCAAAGTCGTCATATGTGCTTTGGTTAATTGAACGATTTTATGCTAAAAGGAACTATGTCTCATGCGAACCTTTTGCACTTAGTTCCTTTTAGCGTAAACACGTCCACTTGATCGAGGGTCAACGCATTTCCGAGGTTTGAAACTCCAACTGCACGACTGCAACAGACTGGCAATCTACGTTCTCAACGTTTGTCAATTTTGTTAATTGAGTCGACGTCTGCGAAAACGTCCGTTGTGCAATGCCGGGTTTCATAATTGCGGTGGGTCTCTTTTGTCCCACGACAGTGATGAATAGGTTCGATCTCTTTTGTAGACGTTTAATTGCACTTAAGGGATTATTTATAAAATTGTTCTACATTCCTGACGTCTTAAACCATCTTGTGTCGTTAAGTCACAACAAAATTGTCCACTCAAATTCTGAAGCACTATCTTGGACATCGAACGTTTTTGCCTACGTCGATTCAATTAATATGAATACTCAAATAATGGAGAATTTGCAGATGTCGGAAATTTGATGAATTTCGTGTTTAAATGGAAAGTGCTAAGTGAACTGAACCGGAGGATACTCTTGGTCCATGAATTGAGCAATTATTGGAGAACATGTGACAAAATGTAATTCGCTAAAATACACGTGTTTAAATGCACTGGAAAAAAAACACATTAGATCTAGAATCCAGACTCTTAAAAACATCGACAAGAAAAAATACTCTTGATTCAACCGGATTTTTGCTTAGATCAAGAACAGGGGCGGACTGGCCATGGGGGCGGGGAGGCGATCGCCTCCTAACAATTTGCCGCGGAGGTCCAGAAGGGGCCCCCGCGGCGAATTTTTTTCGAGTTCTCGTTTTTTTCCCCGTAGTGTAGTAATTTTCCTATCCTTTTCAGTCACTAAAAGGCCCCAAAATCCTTGACAATTTGTCTCTAAGAGACACGAAAGGTCGCCTAAAGCTTATGTAATGAAGGGGCCCCCGAAGAATCCTGAGAATGGATTATATTGAAGTTCAAGTACTGTATAATTTAACTCCGAGAATGCTTAAAATTGCGTTTAAAAAGTGTGACATTTTCAAAGTTTTCCGAGGGAGGGCCCCCGGACCTTCTTAGAGGGGCCCCCGAACGACAGGAGGGGCCCCCACATTTAGGTCGCCTCCTAACTTTTCGACTGCCAGTCCGCCCCTGATCAAGAACCAAGCCTCTTAATTTGAGCTGATTTCCTTTTGATTTAAGCTTAAATCTGATTGAATCAAGAGTATTTTTTCTTGTCAATGTTTTCAAGAGTCTGGACTCTAGATCCAATATGTTTTTTTCCAGTGTATATTGCAGCCGATTTTTAACGACAATAAAACTTTTCCTGGCTTGTTTTACTGGCACCCATAAGCGCAAGTGACTTATTACTGCTTTTACCACCCCTGAAGCGTAAATCTTCATTTGAGTTTTTCAATATTTGCGCTTTTGTGATTTTAAAATTACAATATTTGCGCTTTTGTGATTTTAAAATTACAATATTTGCGCTTTTGTGATTTTAAAATTACAATATTTGCGCTTTTGTGATTTTAAAATTACAATATTTGAGTCATTTTCATAAGAAACAAATAATCCTTTCGCTGTGGCGAAATTTTGCAGCAGAAACACCACAAAAATCTACCCCGACGGATTGTTTTGACAGTTCAAGAGCGTGGCTCTGAAATGGAAACTCCAGGGCCGAAATTCTCATGAATGTGGCAAGTCGGTTCGCAGCTGCCTCGCGCTATTGTCGGAGCCTCAGAGGGAGACAAAGTGACCAGTGACAAGTTACTTTGGGTGTGGTCAATGGTCATCTCTCACCCCTTCTTTTGAATTATTTTTCCCCGACCGGTGTGCTCCACATTCCTGCATTCATCATCATTATAAATAGCGCGCCATTTTTTAAACAAAATCTATTTGTATACAGAGGGAATAGTGGTATGGGTAAAAAAGACGGATAAAGGATGAAAATAGACCATACTGCCGTGCTAAAGAAGAACGCCGTATGAGCCTTCAGGCGGTGCCAAGTTCCACTCGATAAAAACCGAATTTACTGGGAAAATTTTAAATACTTATTTCCAACATTTTCAGACAATTTTGTACGCAATTTATTCTAAGATATCTGAAAATTTCAAAGAAAAATGTGCGTAAATTTCGTCAAAAATACATGTTTTATTGAAGGAAATTTGGCAACTCTCGAATGTTCATACGGCGTTCTTCCTTAGCACGGCAGCATACCAGACATAACGGTGACCGAAGCATCGTAAGCATTCTCTCTCAAAAATAGCAGACAACACTTCAAAACTCGGCAATCGATTAAAAATTATACGATCGAATTATATCGATTAGAAAAGATATCAGTGAAATAAATTGTAAATAAGTAAAATTTTTAAAATTTAAAAAATCGTATCAATAAAAATTTAAATTTCTTCTTCAATAAAGATTCTAAATCGAGAGAGACTTGATTTACGAATTGCACCATTGGTGCTTATTACGTGTGATTTAAAAATAGCTCTTTAGCAAAAATATGTCCAAATCTAACGCCGTTAATATTTCAACGAATATACAGGCTGATTGTTGAAATTGATAGACAAAGCTATAGAGACAGAAGACAAAAAAGCTATGAAGGGAGCCTATTGGTGTAAGGTGGTGGTTGCAATGGACAAAGGACGTAAATAATAGACTAACCAACGGCTACCTACGAGAGACCCGACAGTTGGTCCATCATATGCCCCCTCAGTCCACAAGAACCACCCATCTCTACGAATAGGAACGCTCCATACTCCCTATGTCTTCTTTGTCTATCGCTTTGCCTATCAAATTTAACAATCAGCCAGCTAACCTGGATGAGATGAGGATCAAATACAATCAATTTGATGTTAATTTCTTTTGATACCAACCTTGGGATGCCAGATATGGAATATGCCGGGATCTGTTGCTCTGACGACTTTGATTTTACTCCTCAAATATTTTCTGTATAAAGAAATGTCCTCAAGGCCTCGCCTTAAGAATTTATCCGATTGCTCGTGCATTCGCAGAAAATCAGACCTGGAACAAACGGATGATAGAGGTATTAAAAAAGCAGCTCTCAGCACCTATATGCTCACTGTACGAATGATAATGGCAAACTTGTTAGATTATGACGAAAGAATATGTATCTTTAATCGAAGGTTTCAAAGTTCCTTAGACAAAATGACGGTTTGATATTACGTCGTTTTCTTCACAAAAGAACGTAACTATATTTCAATTTTGCAAAATTTCCTTTAAAAAATTTAATTTTTAAAACGACTGTTGAATCGTTATCGAATGATCCTGATCGATAAAGCCCTATCTCAGCAATGCTGTTTATCGAGCAAGGTCATTCGATATAGATTCAACAATTTTATCGAATGATCCTGATCGATAAAGCCCTATCTCAGCAATGTTGCTTATCGATCAAGGTCATTCGATTTCGATCAAGGGCATTCGATATCGACTCAACAATCGACCAGCTGGACACCTAAAAAGGACACCTAAAAGGAATAAAGAAAGCACCTATGGAAAAGCAAAGGCTTGAACTCCACGTGGTCGCAGGGAAAAAGAATGAGAGAATATTAGTCAGAGCTTGATTTACAGCCGCGCCGTGTTCGATGGGATAATTAAAGAAGACGGATGGAGGTCGGCTGCCAAAATAGGGGCACTTTATTGGCTTTAAACTTCAGCTGCAGTCGCAATGGATATCAGATGAGCCTGCAATAAATATTTCCATGCATTTTACGCAAGCGCACGACACGGCGCTATTCCCAATTACTATGACTAGTACAAAGTACTCTGTAGATGTTATTTTACATTCTAGCCCTCATATAAAATTGAATTTTTGTAGTTTGTACATGTATATTGAGTTTTTACAAATTAAATTAATAACATTTAAATTAAAAAAGATTATTTAAAAAATTAATTAACTTAAATTAAATTAAATATAAAAACCTTCTTTTTTATTAGAATGAACAAATTTAATGTTTGACAAAAGTTATTATGTAACACACGTTAGGTATTTTGCAAATTTTGAATATCCACTGATATAATATGAATTAGTAGTTATAGTTATCATCAACTTAATAGCAACACATTAAACAAATTTTTAGATTCGAAAAAGACAACTGTAAATTAATTGTTAAAATTTTTGGGAAATGAAGAACTGTTCCGTAATTTTTAATGTATATAATTCAAAATAATTTGGAAATTCTCGTCATGAAAATACAGAAGATTTGAAAACGCCTTCAATTGAAGCGTGATACCTCACGCGTTCCGGGGAGTTCAAATAGTTGTATCCCTGCGCCTTAGCAAGACGATGGAAGATTAATATTGAAGTAGCGTCCCGGTTTGGTTTTTCGGCATTCCTCTGCCGCTACTGCAGTTTCGACCTTTCAGGTCGTAGGTTAAGGGCGCTAAAGCCAGGGTTATATTTCGCAATAAGATAATTTTTGCAGAATAATTAAAAATTAAGAAGCAGGAATTTAACTAATTAATAAAAGGAACTCAAAAAATTGGAAAATCTCGTCATGTAAATACAGAAGATTCGAAAACGCCTTCAATTGAGGCTTGATACCTCACGCGTTCCGGAGAGTTCAAATAGTTGTATCATTGCGCCTTAGCAAGGCGATGGAAGTTTAATATTGAAGTAGCGTCCCCGCTTGGTTTTTCGGTTTTCCTGTGCCGCCAGGGGCGGACTGGCCATGGGAGGCGGGGAGGCGATCGCCCCCTAACAATTTGCCGCGGAGGTCCCGAAGGGGCTTCCGCGGCGAATTTTTTTCGAGTCATCGTTTTTTCCCCGTAATGTTGTAATTTTCTTATCCTTTTCAATCACTAAAAGGCCCCGAATTCCTTGAAAATTTGTCTCTGAGAGACATGGAAGGTCGCCAAAAGCATTTGTGATGAAGGGACCCCCGATGAATCCTGAGAATGGGTTATTTTGATATTCAAGTACTGTAGAATCCAACTTCAATAATGCCTATGTGTTTAAAAAGAGTGAAATTTCCAAAATTTACCGGGAGAGGGCTCGGCTCCCGGACCTTCTTAGAGGGGCCCCAGAACGACAGGAGGGACCCTTACATTCAGGTCTTCTCCTAACTTTTCGACTACCAGTCCCCCCCTGGATGTATTTTCTTACAAAAAGCAAGCACATCAGTGAAATCATTGTTTGGGCAATGCTGCCGTGCTAATGAAGAACGCCGTATAAACATTCGAGAGTTGCCAAATTTTCTTTCGAAAAAATGTTATTTTCGGGGAAAGTTATGAATATTTTCCCTTGAAATTGTCAGGAGCTTTGGGTGAAATTACGAGCAAAAGTATCTGAAAAATTGGAAAGAAAATATTCATATGTTTATTAGAAAATTCGTGTTTTATCAAAGGAAGACCACGTCACACGTCTCCTCTTCAAAACTTTACAAAGAAAACGATTCACAAAACGGACGGAAATCACCTCCGATTCTGACACAAGACAAAATACGTTTCCTTTTCGTCTGTAAATTGCTGACTTTTATTTCTATTTTTTTTTTTTTTTTTTTTTTTTTTAAATTCTGTAAGTAATGATTCCTTGCCAGGTAGTCGTCTTCGTTTAACATCGCTTGGCGCTGAGATTGGTGGGTGGAAAAATTCTACCAGCTTGCAGCGAAGACGGAGAGTGAGAGATAAGTGGAGGAATCCAGGCGGAATTTCCGGGATTTTCCTTCTCTACATCGCGGCTCATCGACGGATCTGCCCCAGTAAAGAATGCGGGCTCATTAAAACACTGTTGCCGGATTTTGCAGCGATTTGTCTTCACTGAGTGGTGCCACGGAGTGCAGAAATGAAGCGCATTTACAAAGGGAAACCATCTCGATTACGGTGTTTTCAAAACCGTGCAGTTTCTCTTTTAATGAAAGGTATACTAAATATATGTAGGTAGAGTAATAAAATTTTCCGGATAAATTTTCTCCTTTGAAATTAACATTTTTTGGTAGGAAAGCAGAAAACTCTTTGGATGTTCTAGGCATTTCATTCGATTAGAGTGCGCAGATACACCATTATTTTTAAAAAATTGTAATCGACCTGACTACCTTCTGTTAAAAGCGGTTCAAATTTTATTTGATGACGGACATCGTGCGGTAATTGAATCTTGTTATTCAACAAGGTGCCGACTTTGCTGAACATGCACGAGATTCAATCAAATGCGCAAAAAAAAAAAAAAAAAAAAAAAAAANAAAAAAAAAAAAAAAAAAAAAAAAAAAAAAAAAAAAAAAAAAAAAAAAAAAATTATTGCAACACCCATTAAAATGGCGTACAGATAAATATAAACTAAGTTAAAGTTCATTAGATCCCAAAAATTTTCACAAAACTGTAAATAGAAATTGTATCTTTCACATACATTTATCATTTTTAAAGTTTAGTTATTTTTGCAATCCACCTAGTATATGGGAGCCCTATACTAAAGAAATTAATGATAATAGGTAATCACTTTATGCGATTGCGAAGTATCCAAATTAGAATAATGAAAACTTGCAAGAGTCAAATATGCAAATCGCATCCAAAATTCTTATGGGTCTCAGGGCTCATGACTGAATGCACACAGTTCCGTTTGGCAGACATGTACGTCCATTTGATACAAGGTACATTCGTGAACAGCGACGACTCTTGCAAGTTCATTGGTCCTTTCAAAGCCATTCATAAATAGTCGATCTCAGACTGATGAGGTATGTGCTGCCGCAATAAAAATCGATTGTTTCACATTAACTTGGAAGCACGGTACTCGGTAGTAATCGTCACTATGTATGCAATGTCACCAGCGAATAATTCTCGTGCAATTTCACAACTCAAAACGAGTAGTAGAGAGCGGGGTGGAGATGACTCCTTTTTCTCGAGTGGTTGCCCGGAATAATGCCTCGCCAAGCTCTCGCCGTCTTGCGGGTGATTAAATCAGATAATGGTGATTAAATCAAAGGACGGTGATTAAATGTAAGGCAGAGTAGGATTTAAACATACGAGTACATAGGCACAGCGCTTAACCGTTTCCATACTTCACCGTGCATGACACTCATTGACACGTAACTAATTTATCACTCGAATCGCAAAAAGCACACGGTTTGATGTTAAACAGAGCTCACCTTAAAAGGTTGGCTACGCGTTTATAACGGCAGAGGCGCAGGAAATCTCAGCGGAAGCTCTCGAAGAGAACCTTTTCAACTTATTCTGTAGCAAATCGGCTTGCTCCAGTTTCATCCCTCCCCATTACTTAAAAAAAAGGTTTGACTTTTTTATGTGCGTTGGAGTAGAACTATTCAACGGTTTCCTAGCACAATGAAAGCGTTTCGCGACGGTTGAGAAATCTGCCGGGTAAGGAAAAACACCGTATGAGCCTTTAGGCGTTGCCAAATTTCCTTTGATAAATCACGAATTTTCAGGAATATTTATACGCGCTTTTCTTTCGATTTTTCTGAGAATTTCGCACGCAGTTTTATCTAAATAGTTAACAAATTTCAAGGAAAAATATTGATAATTTTCCTCAAAAATGAACATTTTATCTGAGAAAATTTGGCAACTCTCGAATGTTCATACGACGTTTTTTCTCAGCGCGGTAGAAATGCTTTGCTTTGCATTAGGATTGATGGGTTCGTACTTTCGGAATCCTTACTCTGTGCCACTCGAATCATAATACATTCGAGAAATGAGAAATTTGCAGTAACAAGACAAAGAGATACTTGAACTACATTTGGACGTATTTCTACCAAACTGAACTATGCGCATTAAGACATGCGCCCTGAGACCCATAAGAATATATGCATAACAGGGCTCACGTCACAATGAACGTAGTTCCGTTTGGTAGAAATACGTCCTTTTGGAGTTCCGTAAAGCAGGAATCCAAGTTTTTGGATCACCAAGGGTGTGCTTCTTGTAAAATTTATATTTCATTTCTCGCGAAGATAATTTTCATCAAAAATTGCTACTTATATAAACCGCAGATTACTTAGAGAAAGTATCTCTATATGGTTTCGAGAATTCGTCGTTCCCAGAACGTAAGAAAGTAACTACAT